CACAGAGAAATGCCTGGTTCCCTACTCCTGCCCTCTAAAACGCCCTGTGCCTCCCCGGTCTTCCCCAACACAGGAAACCAGCTCACCACCATCCCGGTTGCTAAAGCCAAAATTCTAGGAGTCATCCTTGATCTATCCTATCCATATAAAATAGCACCCCAGGCCCCCACAATCACCCTCACCTCCCACCTGGATGTCTGCCAGGATTTCCCACTGGGCCTCTTGCTTACTCCAGTCCCCCACAGTCCATTCTCCACCTGGAAGCTGGAAGGATACCACTTCTCTGCTGAACAACCCCCCAACAGCTTCCCATCATAACTGGCATACATTCTAAACCCCTTGATCTGGCCTGGAAGGCCCTGCGCCACCTGGTCCTGCCTACCTCCCCCTCACCCCTTACTTATCTCCTGCTCACTTGCTGTGCTCCAGCCATACCACTTTTCTTTGTGCCCTGATGTCAAGCTGCCTTTCACCACAGGACCTTTGCACTTGCTGTTGCCATCTCCTAAAATCTTCCCTAGGCTTCTTCATCACTGACTTATTCAAGCCTCAGCTCTCAAAGGCCAGCTCCTCAGTGATGCTTTTTCTGACCACCTCTTTCTATGACACCAGCCTGTTTCATTTTCTGCAGTGCACTCACTCTAAAACAGTCTTGCTTTGTTAGTTTGTTTACTTGTTTACTGTCTCCCCACTAGAACATGAGGTTCTCAAAGGCAGCCACCTATGCCTTGTTCACAGCTGTCCCCTCGGGGCCATGAATGGGCACCTGGCATATACAAGGGGCTCAATGGATGAACGAATAAATGACTTTGTTACTCTAGTCACTTCACTAGAAACGAAGCCCTAAATTTGGGGGGGGGGGTGGGCAGAGGCGGCCTGTCTCTACATGGGCTCCTGTATGTATCCCTCTCCCCCAAAGTTGGCCCTGCCACATGGAGCCCAGAAAGTCCCAGCAATTGGGGCAGAACACCACAAAACCGAGACATGTCCAACAGGAAGAAAAAAATGCCAGGCTAGATGAGCAACAGCAAATCCCAATCCCACCATTGTGGAGTGACTGGTACCCCTCAGCCCAGCTCCTAGACTCCAGGGCCTGTGGGTACACTGATGGACCTCCAGGTGTGGCTGACCTGGCCCCCCACTGCCCCTTCTTCAAGCAACAGGACCCACCTCTTTCTCTTGGGGACTTGCCCTCCCCGATTCTTAGGTAACATGGTCCAGGGTGGGCTGACACTACCTTCTCAGAGTTGAGGACACCAACTCAACCCTGGCCAGTGGGAGGGTTTTATCTCTCTGGGCGCAGTGGCTGCCAAGTCTAAAAGGGCCCATTTTGCCTGCCTCAGAATGAAAATAAAAGACCCCTGGGGCTGGGACCCACGTTCCAGGCTGGGCCTCTTCAGGGATCTGAACCAAATATCCCCTTTTCTTCTTCAGCTACCTGGCGTGGGGTTTGGTCCAGTTGCCACCCCTCCTAACCCACTGTCTTCCACTGCTGTCCCTCCCCGCCCCCCACTCCCCAAGCCCACCGCACTCTCACTTTATCTTCCATGCCTGGAACAGCTTTCTCCACTTCATACGGTAAATTCCTACTTGTCCCAGCTCAGGTCAGATACCACCTCCTCCAGGAAGCCTTCTCTGATTCCCTCAGACACAAGTCATCTGTCTTTTCCCCCAATCCCACCACATCCAGTAGGCTTCTCTGGGGACCCTGTAGTCACTAGGTCCTGCCAGCCTAAAAGATCTTGTCAAGCTTTATTTGCCATGGTCATATTATGAAAATAGGGATTTTTTTCTTTCCTCTCCAAATACAAAATGATGTTTTACTGGTTAATGTAAATTTTCAGTCAATGCCTACCCCTACCCCAGATATTCTGAATTACTCCCCCAGAGAGATGTCTTCCCTACCCTTGATTGAAAAACTGCAGCAAAACATCCCTCATTGATTCAGTAAACATTCATGTGGCCCCCATGGTAGAAAGCATCGTGCCGAGCACTGTACACACAAATTATAGAAGTGTGTTATGATCACCCCCTTCTCTGTACTAGCTAGGAAAATGCAGGGAAGGCTCCTGCCAAACTGTTTAACTGACATAACTGTGGATGCTGGCATTAGAGGGACAGATGAGGGATTTTCCCTTAGTACCTTATGTAATTTTAAAGTGATAAGGTTTGGGGTGTTTTTGACTCTGTTAGTATTTTTAAAGTAAGACATTTCTTAGTGGTTCATTGGTGAGTCTTCTTTCCCTAAAAGACTGGGAGCCCTGAGGGGGCAAGGAAGGGTCTGAGTCATTTTTAAGTCTTTAGCTTCCCACCAGGGCCTGACACACACAGGAGGCCCGGAAATGTCTGTGAAATGACTACAGGGTAGAGCTGAGCGGGTATGGGAGGGAGAATTGGCAGTGGCACAGGACACAGGCTGAGAGGGGTCATGCCCAGGGGCGAGACAGCTGTGGCTGCAGTAGGCAGCGAAAGCAGGAGGAATGTGGTACCCATTGCAGCTGGTCGGCACGGTGCCTGGAACGCTGGTGGTACGGGATAAACATTGGTCTATTGGTCTGTTAGGGAGATGAGGTCACAGGGTAACAGAACTCCCAGAAAACAAACGTGGCCCAGCTTCGCGATAGCAGAAAGCAGACCTGAGCAGATGGGAGCTGGGGCAGGAGGAGTGAGAGGAAGGGGTTTGGCAGGGCAGGTTGGAGGAGACCTTGAGAATCCGAGTTCCAGCAGGACAGCAGGTGGTAGAGGACCAGCCTGCTGCAGCCCTTGGCTTGCAAGGAACTTGAAAGAGGTGGTTCTAGCAGTGTATGAATGGAAGGAAAGCCTGATGCTCCCAAGGGATGATGGTCTGGTTGGTCTGAACTAGGCTGCTCTGTCCCCCCTCCCTCCCTGGAGTCTTTGTTCCTTCCACAGATACTTCCTTAGGCATATTTGGACACAGTGCTGGCGATTAGGGCCAGAAGGAAAGGAAAGGGCTGGGGGCCTCCAGAGAAGGCAGGAGACAAGAAATCAAACCTGCTGTTGAGGGGGAAATCATGAAAGACTTCCTGGAGGTATGGACTCCCAAGCCGAGGCTTAAAGGCTGAAGAAAAGTTGTCCAGGTAAAAGGGAGGGAGCTGACTTCCAGATAGACAGGAGAATAGGAACAGGTGCAGCACTCTTGAGACCTAGGGAGGAGCCCTGGGCATTGGGGTTGCTCTATGAAGAGCTGTATGTACTGAGAGGTGACCCCTGCTATTGGGATTTCTGGTGGCCAGGGTGGGGAAAGGTGGGAAGATGGCTAAAGGTAGCAGCCCTGGATCATGTGGTTAGAGCCCAGACCTGCTCTGCCACTTGTGCTCATGGGGTAACCTTACCTAGGATGAGGATTCAAGGAGGTCACCATTAGTACAGTGCCTGGTACAAAGGCAGCACCTGCCAGACTCTGGTTACAATTACCGTGGCGAGCCAAGCACCACAAGGCTAAGTTTGGAAGAGCTATCACACTGCCTTTGGCTCAGGTTGTGATTTCAAGGTCCTGGGATCAAATCCTGCATCTGGCTCCCCACAGGGAGCCTGTTTCTCCCTCTGCCTGTGTCTTTGCCTCTCTCTGTGTGTCTCTCATGAATAAGTAAATAAAATCTTAAAAAAAAAAAAAAGATTTTAGAAGAGCCATTACAGAGCAGCGGGTACAGATTGCTCTGTGTGTCTCTGAAGAACCAGGCCCAGAGGCAGGAACCTCTAAGAAGGCAGACACCAGCTCAGGGTTAAGGACAGTCTCAGTCTCGGTGGAAGCGCTGGTCAGTAGTGGAATGGGCCCATCCGAAGCTGAACTCTGTCAAGGGACAACCTTGTGGGGGCACTGAGCATCTTCTCTGGGTAGACAGCATCTGATCCTGAGGTTCCATGGAAGGCAGCGGTTGGAGAGAAAGAACAGCAATCCAAAGAGCAGTCATTGTGGGAAGCACAAGACTAAGGGAAGACTTTCACTGTCCTGGAACAAAGACTCCCACAGAGTCAAATGCTTAGGGAACTCCAGGAAGATAGCACAAATGGGTGACAGGGACAAGTGTGGACCGAGTGGAGACAGCAGACCCATCAGGAGGGAAGCTACTACTCAGTTCTGCCAGCTATCCTTACAGGAAATTTGTTGGCCACTATCAGGGTTGAATTGGATCTCCCAAAAAGATCTGTTGGAAGTCCTAACCCCTGGTGACTGTAAATTCATGACCATATTTGGAAACATGGTCTTTGCAGATGTAGTCAAGTTAGATGAGGTCATTAGGATGGGCCCTATTCCAATAACTGGTGTCCTTATAAAAAGAAGAGGAAATATTATCATGGGGACAGACAGGCACAGAGAGAAGATGGCCACATGACCATGGAGGCAGATTGGAGTGATCCAGTTACAAGAATGCCAAGGATTTCTGGCACTTCCAGAAGCTAGAAGAAACAAGAGATTCTCCCTAGAGCCACCCATTTCGTGGGGCTCTTTCATGGCAGCCCTGGGAAATGGATACAGCCACTAACTCATGATTCAGTGTATGCCAGAAGTTTCCAGAATGGCCAGAGTGGAGGCTGCGTTCCCTGACCCAGAGGCCACAGGCCCCTTTTCTGAAAGAGCATCTCTCACTAGGTACGCCAGGGCACATGTTATAGGTCACTAGCTCAGAGTCTCAGCCTTTCCTTTTGCACCCACATGAGCACTATTCCATGGAGGTGACTCCTCGTTTCCTCAGCTGTAAACTGAGGATAATGTGCCAACCTCCCAGGTGGCTGGGAACCCTCAGTGAGATACACAGAAAGCACCAGGCTCTCCACCACACAGAGGATGTCCTCCATCTGAGCCTCACTTTACCTCACTGAGACTGGTGACAGCATCCCCCAAGGCTTCCAAGGGTTGTGGGAGCTGCCTGGCACATGAGCAGTGGTCAGAAACGTCCACTCGGACCAGTCAGCCCCCGCACACCGGGCTTCTGTGGGCCCTCCACTGGAGGGCGTGTGCCCCCCAGGGCTGCCCTTACCTGTGCTGTGAGCTGGATGGGCTGGGACAGGGTGAGCTGTGGGGTCCCAGGGGGTTGGCTGGCAGGTTGTGGTGGTGGCAGGTCGCCTCCCCCAGAGGAGGCTGGGGGCTGCGAGGTCGAGGAGGAGGCAGAGGAGGAAGAGGAGGAGGAAGAGGAGGAGGAGGTGGAGGAGGCGGCGGCGGCGGCTGCGGCGGCACTGGATTGCTGCACGGCGGCGGCCAGGAGCTGGGCCTGCGCTTGCTGCAGGAGGAGCTGCTGCTGTGCTGGCATCAGCGCCGTGAGCTGTGGGGGGCGCAGGGTGGCAGGGCCAGAGGAGGGACAGAGGGAGGAGCAGAGAAGGCAGACAGGGGTTAGTGCCCGAGCCAAGCAGGTTAGATGGCAAGTCTTCCAGGAGGACTGAGGAGGGCAGGAGGCAGGTGTGAGAGAGTAGCTGAGGCCCTGGTGGGACACCCCCTGGTCCTATAACAGATGGGAGGTGGCTGGTCTATGCCCACATCCCCATCCTTGCCCAAGTACTTACCCCGGCTAGCTGGCTGCCCGTCAACATGAGTTGGGCCTGGGGCAGATGCGGCTGAGCCGGCTGGGGGGGCGGGGGTGCTGCCGGGGCTGAGTCGCCACTGGGGTCTTCAGCCTTGATCTGGGGGGGAGAGAGGCAGGGTCCGGGACCCCAGAATGTTAAGTGGAGGCCAGAGAGAATGCCCACCTGTGAACCAAAGAGAGGGCATGTGTGTGGCAACAGCAGCCTTGGGCTGGAATAGGAGGAGCGCACTGGGGTACAGAGGCAAGACCCTGCACTGACTGGCCAGGATCTTAGGCCACTCCTCTGGCCTCAGGTTCCTCATCAATCAGTAAAGCTAACACATCCCCTGCATCCAAGCTCCTTACAGGAGAGGGGCACCTTTGAAGAGCAGTTTCCCCCTCTGGGAGGTGTGTCAGTTTCCCCATCTGTAAAATGGGAAATGTGCCAGCAGGGGGCTCATGACATCAAATAATAGAATTCTAGGTCCCCATTGGTCATCTGCTTTAGCTGGAGGTGCATCTCTCATTAATGGAGTAAGGCTTCATTGGAAGAAAGGGCCATATATATATATATATATATAAACTGCCTTGGAACATGGATTTGGAATTCAAATGAGTATAGAAACAGACAGACAGTACAAACGGGTGAGATGGGCAGAAGAGGAAGGCTAAGCTTGCCCATCTCCTCCTCTGTTCCCACAAATCACCCATTACAAAATCTAAAGCAAGGGACACCTGGGTGGTTCAGTGGTTGAGCGTCTGCCTCTGGCTCAGGTTGTGATCCCAGGGTCCTGGGAGCCAGTCCTGCATCAGGCATCTTGCAGGGAGCCTGCTTCTCCCTCTGCCTATGTCTCTGCCTCTCTCTCTGTGACTCTCATGAATGAATGAATGAATGAATAAATAATCTCATTACAAAAATCTAAAGCAATAACTAAAAGCAATCTTAAAAAACAAAAACAAAAACATTGGCAAGACCAGTAAAGCACATATGTAGGCCAGATGTGGTCCAGATGCTGCCAGCCTTCAGTCTCTGCCCCAGAAGTGCGCTGAGCCCCTCCTCATCTCTCTGTGTAGGATGTAGAGGCATCTCACACCAAACACATAGGCCAGACCAGCACACAGCAGTCCTGGGCTTCCTACTCGCCTAGACAGAAAGGCCAGACCACAGTGGGCTTGCCTGGGAGGTCAGGTGGTAAAGGAGATGTCAGGGTGGGAGGAGGAGGCATGGTTGAAGAATCACACACTCAGGGCCAGAGGGGACACTGCATTTTGCAGAGGTCCCAGCAGCATTTTGCAAAAGGGGGTCCAGAGAGGGAAAGCAACTTGTACAAGGTGACACAGCAGTTTGGCGGGGGTGTGGCATTCTGAATTTCAGAGTGAGATGAACAGAGGCCTGGAAAAAGCCAGATAACAGAGGGTGAGGGGTGTGCCCCCCGGGTATGGATACAGATGTCAGAAAGTCTAAGGGGTACAGGAATGCAGCAACCCCTGGTGGGGAATCAAGGGCCTCTGGTAGTTTGGTTGTGTTCTGTGTCATGATCTAGTGGTGCTGGCAACACGGGTATTCAGTTTGTGAAAATCCACAGAGCCATACACTGAGGATCTCTGTGTGTGTCATATTTTAATTAAAAGTTAAAGAAACTTCCCTTCTCACATCCAACAACACCGTGAGGATGTTAGTCCTCTTTCAGGTTTCTTTCATCCTTTCTGCTCTTGAGAAAGTCTCCCTTAGCTGCTAAGATGGCTCTAATGCCTCACCCCCAACACTGCTCATCTGACTTTTAAACAAATGAAGGAAAAGCCTCAGGCTTAGACTCGTCAGCAAGCAAGAGTCCCTGGGTACATTTTAAGAATCATTGTGTTGGGGTGCCTGGCTGGCTCAGTCAGTACAGCACCGACGCTTGATCTCAGGGTTGTGAGATCGAGCCCCACGTTGAATGTGGAGATTACTTTAAAAAAAAATCATTGTATTTATTTCCATGGCAAGAGATTCTGATTTTCCACTCGTGAAATTTCCATTTAAAAAACATTTATTTGAGCTGTTGAAAAAGCAAGCCAGTTCATGAGCTGAAAATTGTTGAAGTTGATTGATGGGTACCTGGGGGCTTATTTTCATGATACTCTTTTTTTCTCCGTTTGTATCTGCTTCACATTTTCCATAATAAAATGTTTTTTAAAATGAAGCCAATTAACACAAGTGCAATGTAAGTAGTTGTACGTGGTGGTGTGTGAATGTGTCTGAAATCATGATGGGAACACGTAAATCACTGCGGTCGGGTAAAGGAAAGGCACCCAGTGAACAGGACGAGGTGTGGACAGAGGCCCGGAGTCAGAGGTCAACACCCTCTCTGCCTCGGGCTTTCCTGAGGAACCAGGGTCCAGGCCAGGGAAGGGTAGGGAGAACCCCTCCTTCTCAGGGCACCCCCCCACCCCCACCCTGGCTTCCCCACAGAGAAGCAGGGCTGCTGTGACGCAGCTGAGGAGGGAGAGGGTCAGGGAGATGGACACGTGCTCCGCTCCAAGGGCTAAGGCCAGAACTGCACCTGGAGGGAAGGAGGCCAGAGCCAGAGCCCTTCTTTCTCCCCTGGGCCCTGGCCTACTCACTCAGCACAAGACACCCACCCACGAAGCTGCACACGGTACCTCAGAAGCCCTGGGACCTGATAGCCCACCATGTTAGAGAAAAGGAAGCTGAGAAGCCCAGTGGAGGGGGGGGTGGTTTTCCCAAGGTTACAGAATAGTTTCCGATCCCAATCCCAACCCTCACCCAGGACCCCTCGGCCCCTGCCCTGCCCTCCGCCCTCAGGCATCTGGACCCACCAGGCTGGGGCCTGGAGGCCCAAACCCCAGACACCTCAGGAAGCCCAGCAGTGCCCAAAAGCAGGCAGGGCCCCTCTGGATTAGGAATTTGTTCTGTCTGGCCACTTCCAGCCTCCTCATCATCCTCAGCCATCCTTATTGGGTCTGTCCCCCGCCCCTGTGCCCCTCTCATCAGCTGGCCCCTGGGTATGTGTGTTGGGGGGCTGGGGGTGGGGCAGGCCCCTGTCAGGGAAGTTGGGATGGGGGCGGGGCCCTCAGCTTCCTGTTGTTCATCGCCCTGGGGCTCTGGGGGGGATTTCCCTGGCCACCCCCACCCCCCCAGGGAAGGGGAAGGAGCCTGGGTGAGTCACAGGCCTGGGGCGGGAGCCCGAGTGTGAGAAGGGGCGGGAGGAGCCTTGTCACCAAGGTATCAGGGCTCTGTGCACCCCCTTCAGGCCCAGGGCCCACAGGAGCATGAGGGACCCTCTCATAGATGCAAACCCATCACAGGACACCCTCCTCGTCCCCCTGCCCAGGCTGTTCTGATAAATGCTTACCTTGGTGCTGGGGCCAGTTGGGGACACGGAAAACGGGGAGGTCTTATTCTGGGGGTTCTGTGGAGAAAAAGGGTGGGGAATGGGAAGAGTGAGCTGAAGCAGCTTCTGGCACCCCACCCCTCCCCCACAGGGGCGCCCTCTGTCCCTTCTCCCCCTCCCCACCCCTCCTGCTCCACCACTCCCGCCTGACCTGATGGTTAGTGTCTGGTCCATTTCTTTCAGTGTCTGCAATGAGAGGGAAACAGTGAGTTGTCACCAGTGCCCCCCATATCCCCACAGCTCCCCCATCACACAGGCCCTCTGCCCTCCCTGCTCCCCTACCCACCAACCTGTGTGCTCTGATGGGGAGTCCAGACCTTGCTTCTCGGCCTCCAGGGGCTTAGACATTCTTATTTCTGGGGACAGAAGAGGGATGTAAGTGGGGTGAGGGAAGCTGGTGGGGGGGCTCTTGTACTCTCCTCCAGCACTACCCCGGCCTCTCTCCAAATACCCCCGCACCCTCTGCCACCTCGTAAACGCCTCTTTCCAGGGGATACGTCCTTCTTACTGCGCCTCTGGCAAGACAAGAAGGGGCCTTCAGTCCTTGTGAGTCTTGCCTGGTCCCTTTTACCCCTGCAAAAGGTGGCACAGAGAGTGCCACCCCTGTGAGGCCCCGGGGCAGGGTGGGAGGTAGCCAGTGGTCGTGAGAAGACTTCAGTGCCCAGGAGGAGGTGGGTGATGTTCCACAGGAGCGAGTCAGCCTTGGGCCTCCTCCTGAGGCGCACCCGTCCTGCCTCACCAGGTTTCGGGTGAGACATGTTTTCCACTCTGAGTGGAGCCTGGGCGTGTGAAGGGCTGCAGCATCCCCAAAGGAGTGAGTCTTCTGATCTCTGCGTGGGATTCGGCACCCTCGGCCCTTCCCCCAGCCCGCAATGTTCCTGTCCACACCTGACTCCCACCCGGCCCCCCAGCCTCCCTTCTCATATCCAGCACACAGGCCCAGCAGCCCCACCCAGAACTGGGAACTCCGACCTCAACACCATCCGGCTCTGCCCCTGACCAGGCCCTCAGACTCACTCCTAGGCCTCACCTAGGACTTCCGCCTTGAATCCCAACTGCACGCCCAAATCCAACCTGCGTGCCCCACCCTACAAACATGATCCCATTCCGTAGTCTCATAAACCCAGGAAATGAGGGGAGGTGGCAAACAGCAAGCTGGCACCGGGACACGAAGCAACGCTCTCTCCTCACAACACTCTGATGCTGATAATGGAAAGGTGAGTGTGCTTACCGGTGCTGAGCACAGCGTTAAGTATGATTCAGAGCTTAGTGCTAATATTACCCCCATTTTACAGAGGAGTAAACTGAGGACCCAAAAGCACAGAGAGACGGCAGAGGTGCCCTGATTAGACACCTGTCTTCATGACTCCAGGGTTCCCGCTTCTAATCAGGACTGCTACGGTCTAGTGGACCCCTGCTGTGACTTCCACCCACCTCATCTCCAGCTGTCACCCCTACTCAAGTTCACCCTGAGGCCAACTCGAGTCCAACCCCTTCTGGTCCTAGACCCCACACAAACCCTGGCTTCCACCCTACCCATTCTCAGTCCCCTGACCCACCTGAATCCCAGCTCCCATCCAGATGTTACAAGTCCTTCATCTGACCTTGACTCTCAGTTTGGCCTCTGACTTTCCTCATAACCCTGACTCTGACCCGAAGGTCTCCCCCACAACTCACTCCACATCCCTGCTTAAATCGCAATGCCCTATCAAAGGGGCTGTCCAAATCAAGTGTGTTCTGTGCCCAAGATATTTAAAGAAGGCCAGCTAAAGAGAGCTAGGACGTCCTCAGCAACTGGGGGGAAAAAATGTCCAGGAATTTTGCAATTGAGGGTTACTCGACATGAAACACCACTCGGGTTTAAAATTCCTGATTAAAAAGCCAGGTCACACACTGCTCATGGGAGTGTAAATCGATACAAGCACAATACAGGAAAGCTGAAGAGGTACCCCCTCCCCAGGACCCAGCACATCCGCTCGCTCCCGCACAAGCGTCCCCATGAGACAGAGGAACGTCCCGCCCACCATGGAACCAAGCCCATGGACATATGTGCTCTTTCGAAATGGCCCCCAAGGCCGATCAGTGGATCGACACAATGTGGTACATCCATACACTGAAACACCCCACAGCAAGAGAAGAAACAAACCCCTGCCTCACACCCACCACTAAATCTTGCAGGCACGACACCAAGGGAAAGACATCAGACACACAAGCGGACAGATGGTAGGATTCCAATTACAGGAAACTCAGAAACAGGCAAGATGATATCTGATGATCAAGATCAGATTATGGGTAACTTTCAGGGATCGCTGACGGGGAAAGGGCGTGAGGAGGCCTGCAGGGGGAGGGAAATGTTCTGTATCATGATCTGCTTGGTGGTTATGTGGTTCCACACGTAGGTAAAAATTCATCAAGCAGCACCCTTAAAATATGAGCACTTTGCTGTTGGTATGTTATGTTTCCACATTTAAAAAAGAAGAAAAAATTAAAAGCTAAAAAAGAAAAAAAGCCAGTACATAGTACTATTAAGCATAGACTGGTGAGAAGATAGTGTGGGGAACAGGTGGTCAGGATGCTTTGGGAGCTCGTGTCCTGTTTCCAGGCACTTGGATGGCAGTGAGTGGCCAATGATCTTGAGAAACCCAGGAGGACAGACCAGGTGCTGGTGCCAGGTGACAGACCCCACTCCTGACTTTGGGACACCAAAGGCAGGGGTCCTGCTTAATCCTACCTCTAAATGGCCCAGAACTTGGCCCAGCTCCTGACAACCACTAATGCTGGCGTGGTCCTGCATTCCACCCCTGCTAGCATCCCTGAGACCCCTGCCCCAACCCTGTCCCCAGCCCCTACTTCCCACCTGTGCCCATCTGGTCCCAAGGAGATCCTTCCCACAACTTGGCCCTAACCTTTCCACGGCTCCCCATCTCCCCCAAGTAAAGCCCAGATAGCGTTTTTAAAGAGGTTTAAGTTAAATGAGACCATTAGGGTGGCCTTAATCCAATATGACTGGTGTCCTAATAAGAGGAGGAAATTGGGACAGAGACACACAGAGAAAAGACCACGTGAAGACACAGGGAAGAAGTCGGCCATCCCAAGCTGAGCAGAGAAGCCTCTGCAGAAACCAACCCCACTGCCACCTTGATCTTGGACTTCTAGCTTGCAGATTTCAAGAAAATTAATTTCTGTTGTTTAAGCCACCCAGTGTACAGCACTTCATTAGGGCTGCCCTGGGAAAATAATACAGCTTCCCACGACCGTGCCTTCCCACTGGCCGAGCCCTGAGCCCACAGGGCCATGGCCTTCTGTGTCCCTGTCCTTTCCCACCAAACCAGGGGGCAGGCATGCTCTGACTCACTGCCGGGTCCCTGGCATCACCCAGCTCAGAATAGGTGGTAAATGTCGGCAGAATGTCCCTCCCCGCAGCTTTCTCTCTTTCCTTGCCTCTGCCTCCATCCTGCTGTCTCTCTGCCATTTACACAGTTTCCTGAGTCCTTGGCATGGGCTGGTCCCTCTGCCTGGAAGGCTGTCCCCCCACGCTGTCCACCTGGTGACCTCCTGCTTATCCTTCAGGACCCAGCACAGGCTCTGTTCTCTCTGGCTCCCTCCACCCCAGAGTTCCCACTGGCCTAGCATCTCCCCTTATGGGGTCCCTAACACTGCCCAGCCCAGGACATGTGGGTCGGGTGAACATGGGTACCCCGCGGACTTTGCCCCCGCTCTTCTCCCACATGGCGACCTTTTCTTCTCCACTTGCAAACTCCTGCTCCTCTTTATGATCCCAGCTCACACATCACCTCCTCTGTGAGGTCCTCCCTGAGTCCTCGGGTGGTCAGTGTCTCTCTCATCTGAGAACCCCCCTGCCCCTGCCCCTTAACACACCCTGTCTCCCTGGACAATGGCCTCCCCCTGCACCAGACTGTGAGCTCCTCAGAGCCCACACTGGTGTCATAACAGCACTGGCTGGGATTGTGCCTTTGGAATAAAGCAATGCACACAAGAGTCTCAGACGGATCAGGACCCAGTCTTGTCCCAGAGAAGCTTCTCTCTCTGCTGCCACCGGCCACCATGACCTTGAGCCACAACTCCAGCCCAAAGCTTTAAGGTTCTCTGCAGGGATAGTGGCTGAGGAGGCAAAGGCGGCATGAGAAGAAATCTCCACACTCTTTCCCTTGTTCTCCCTAATTCTTTCCCCCATCCCGACTCACACACAGCCCAGGCACCCCTACAGCAGCATTTGGCTGGGCTGATGGCAAACTCGCCAGTGTTGCCCTTGGCCCAAGCTCATCCTGCTTTCTTTCCTCCTCCTCCATCAGAACCCAGCCTGAGAAAAGAACCAAATCATCCCCACCAAGGATGAACAGGGAACTCCATTTCCACCACAGATCCAAAGCCAAACGATGCCCTAACACTTGAGGGCATTGGCAGTCCCCTTAGGAGGCTGGCCCAGGTGCCTGTCCTGCAGCTGTCAGCCTTGACCCAGGACCCTCTCTCTCTTGACTCGAGAGAAATAAGAACACCTATTCCCACCCAGACACTCTGCTTTCACAGGGACAAGGTGAGACCGGGACATCTGGATTTTGCAAAGCCCCACCCCCACCCCCCACCAGGTGATCCTAATATGCTCTGGCTCCCTGGTGCCTTCTGAAGCCGTCTCAAAGCCTCCTTCACACAGAAAGGCTGCTTGGTTATATGACCTTAGTCACCCTCCTTCTCCCATCCCAGGCAGTGCATTAACTCGTTAGAGGACCAGGCAGGAAAAAGCAATGCAGAATTCTACTGGGCCCCTTGTATCCCACCACCCTGGAGTGAGACACACCCAGGGCTACCCACACCCTTGGGGTCACACTCGCTTGCCCCACTGCCTCAGGCCTGGGACTCTGGGTCCCCTCCGCCCTCCCCACCTCTCCCTTGCCCCTCCCTCCCCGGACTTTCACTTCTCCTCTGCATTTCCCCCAGCCGGTTTTAGCAGACTTGGGCCAGCTTCTCGTTAGCACTTACCGAAAATGGGGCTAAATATAGAGGGCCCAAGGGCTGCCCCTCACCCCTCCTGGCCCCTCTTAGCCTGTCCCCTGGGTCTCCTGCCTTCAGAGCTGACTTCAATCAAGGCTGTGGCCTGGGAGCCCCTGTGGGCAGGGTTCTCATTGCCGGGAACCTCTGTGGGCCCAGCTGGCCCGGTCCCTGCGTCCCTAGGAGCAGCACCTCACACCCCCACTACCCCACATCTGTCCCTGGGTGGCCTCAAGGGAACGAACACTTCTGAGCTGTCAGGAGGGAGGGATGGAGATAGTAGGCAGCAGACACAACAAGAAAGGGTGGCCCCACAGCTGTGCTGACAACAGGCTGCTACTTCGCACACACACCACAGCCTCAGCCAGGCAGGGCCCCAGACAAGGACAGAGACCATGCAAACACCACGGGGACAGGTGTGCACAGATCCCAGGCAGAGAAGACATACACCCAGACACAATGGCATGGGTAGATATGCAAAACACACACCCAGACATGTACATGCACACCTGTGCTTACACACACACACACACACACACATCCTGAATCATGGCCCAGAGTGACTCACAGACACATATACATGTACACACATACACTCAGGTCACTCAGACACATACACATGCACACACTCACACCTGAGTCACTCACAGACAGAAATACAGATAGATACAGATGTGCATACACATATACACTCAGGTCGCTCAGACACAACTGAGACATGCACACACACGAGCGCATACACACACCTAGAGTTACTCAGATGCACACAGATGTGAACACACACATCCAGAGTCACTCACAGACAGACACACAGATGGACACAGATATGCAGACACACACATACCTAGGCAACTCAGATATACACACACGTGTGTGCACACTCCCACACCCAGAATCAGCTCATCCTGGGAGATGGCCAGGGTGGACCCCTAAGCCTAATTCACAGGTGTGGAGCTGAGCCCAGGCAGGATGAGTGATCTGCCTGAGACCATGCAGTGTATTCATTCACATCCAGGCAGGGAACCCAGGTGGGCCTCGCAGGCACCGCAGTTATGTGCAAAATCCCCAGTAAGGGGTCTAACTCAGCACCCAGCATGTACAAGGCTCCCATTCAACCCCAGGTAGGGAACGAGTCCATGGTGGAGCATATGGCATGCATGTGCAGACACCCGGGATCTCTGTGTCTACACTGTATGTGGGCACACGCATATACAATTGCACGTACAGTCACCGCAACAAATAATCACGTACCATCCTGCAAGTAGCCTTCCCTCCATCTCAATCCCCTCCTTTACCTCCTTTGCCTTGCTCATACCATTCATCCTTCACATCTCAGCCCAGATGTCCCCTCCTCCAGGAAGCCCTCTGTGACACCCTTCTGGCTCAACTGGGCAAATCTTCTGGGCTCCCACAGTTCCCCATGTCTCCAGCATCCAAGCCCTGACCCCTCTGCCTGTGCTTCCTCCACTGTCTGGCAACACATCTGTCTCCCCGACTGGGAGCTCCAGGACAGCCCCAAAGCTGCCTTTTTCAGTTCTATTTCCAACACCTAGCAAGGAACTGCTCAATAAATATATGTTGTTGAAAGATCCCAGGGATGCCCGCGCACACAGGTGCACATAGGATGGCACAGGTCCAACCAGGACTTGTCCCTGCAGACTCTCACAAGTGTGACATAGACCAACACTCACACCTATATGGCCACAAATGAAACAATCATGCAGTACTTATGCTTGCTGTCTTCCAGGCAGTGTTAAACATTTACACACATTACCTCATTTAACTGTCCCATCAGTACTGCTGGGAGATAACTATCATTATGCAGAAGTAGACACATTTTACCAAATGAGCCAACAAATACAAATCATCTTGTGTGGTGCCTGGCACACAACAGTCACTCAGTCAACCGTCATATAATAAATTTTCAGGCAGTGATACATTCCATAAAGGAAAGACAAAGCAGGGCAAGGGGATGACCAAGAATGGTGGGACTGGTTGCCAGTCCAGACAGGGAGGTCAGGGAAGGCCTCCCTGAGGAGGTGACATCTGAGACAAATGAAGTGAGGCTGTGAGCCAAGAGATCATTGCCAAGGCTAGCCCACAATGCCACACACAACAGCCCTTCACACACAGACACATGACAGTCACACTCAGAGGACTTGGAACTGCCACTCACATTCACACACACAGAAACTCACGTACACTGTAAAGTCCTGCAACTCAGGGTTCCCACCACCCTGTAGCCCCCACCCAAGAAGCCCACCCACTGGTCCTCCATATAAGAGCCTGCTACAGGCACTGGGCTCCATCCTCACCGTCCCCACCCCAGAGCCCTCAGAACACTGCAGCAGAGATGGGGGGGGATCAAAAGCCCCCAGGTGTCTGGAGTGAAGAGAAGAGGGAAGAGGAGTTGAGGGTGGGGACCTAGGGTGGGAAAAGGGGAGCTGCTGAGGTTCAGAGCCAAAGTTAGAGGAGACAGCTAAGGAGGAAGGGCAGGGCAGGCAGCAGGCGCTGGCCCCAGGCCCCTTACCTGGAGCCCCCATGCTGGAGTGAACCATGCTGCCCGCCCCGCGGGGCCGGGGGAACAACTGTGTCATCTCCCCGCCCTCTCTGGGGGCCAAGCCCTCTCAGCCGGAAGTCACCCAGGGAGGAAACCACAGGGTCCGCCCCCTTCAGAAGGGAAAATACTCTGGCCCAAAGGCCCACCTCAGGAGGCGGTGGACCCCAAATCATGTGTATGTTGGGGAAGTGGGGGTAGTGAGGCACAGGGCAAGTAGGCTGGAGGAGCTGACTCCTCCAGCTGAGTCTCCAGGAGGTGCCTGCAACAGCTGCCCCAGCCCTCCAGCTGCTTCCACCAAGGCAAACACATCTGGAACAGGGCATGTGGGTCTGGGAGAGAGGGTGGGCCCATTACAACAACGGCAGCAATCCCAAACACTGGCTAGAAGCGTTTTTTGGGGGTGGAGGGGCTTTCCCAATGCCAAGCTTGACAGACACCATCTCTTGAGGTGATTGGTATTTGCCCCATTTTACAGACGAAAAGACTGAGGACCAGAGAGCCGAGGTAGCCTTCCCGAAGGCCCAGAGCCCCAAAGCGTTGAAGCCAAGAAGCACAGCAGGAGACATTTGCGGTCCTGCAAGGCTGTGGGAAGGGAGGTACTCAGCCATGCACCTGTCCGCAGGTGAGGCTTCCGTCCACTGAAAGGAAGCCGAGCCAGTGGGCAGTGGCAGCGCGGGCGATGGGGCGGGGCCTTGGCCCGGAGTGGCAAGACGCCTGCCTGCCGGGGGTGGGGGGGTGGCAAATGCGGGTGCCCGAGGTGGTTCCGGCAAGGGACCCCGGACTGCCCGCTGGCCCTTCTCCGAACTGCGCTCCCGGCCCAGCGTTTCCCTCCGCGCCCGCCAGAGGGCGGCAGCGCCCAGCCAATAGGCCGGAGGGCGGGGCCGGCTGCGGAGGAGGAAGCCCCTCCCTCCGCTCCCCTCCCCGTCCCCCCGCCCCGCCCCCGCGCGCACACCTGCGAGGGTCACACAAAGGCGCAGGACTCCCAGCGCAGGGCGGCGCAGACAAAGGCGCGGCCGAGCCCGCTGCCCCCTTCCTTTGCCCGCGCCGGTGCGAGGCTGCCAGGCCACCTGGCTCCTCCGAGCAGCCCGCTGCCGCCCTAGGCCCCGCAGGACTCAAGGCGCCCCACGCCGGCGGGACCCCTCAACCACAAGCGCGCACACGGACGCCTGGACTCACCCAGACAGACACATACACTCAAGTGTTTATACATATGGGCCCCAGCACTTCACACACACGTGTGCACACGCAGACACATGGGAACCCTCTATGTGCCCAGGGTCCAAGACCAACCCCCCCTATCCACCATCCCTAACTCCTGTGTACAGAACCCCCTCCGCTCCCTCAGTGGGCACAAGGGCACATCTACACAGGTGTGTCCAGGCACGCCTCCTGGCCCTGTGGGCCATGCTCACACCCATGCACCTTCAGGCAGGATATAACACACAGGCAGACCTTTATGAGTGCCCTTCCTTCTGCACACAAGACCCTGTGAACCCAGACCCGCCCAGGCAGGCAGACCCACTCACTGGGGATGACCAGCAGTTTTTACATCTGTACACAGAGGGGACAGTTCCCAGCTATCTACACACCACAACATCCCATATCTCCAGAGACCACATAGCATTAACCCAGCTTCAACTGAGACCTCCTGCCTCAGGGTCCACCCCCCCACCCCCCACCCCCATCTCTCTTTCAGATGCAGGGTGTCTGTACATGAGGGCCTTCGGACAGCAGTCTAGTGGCAGTGAGTACTGGAGCCTTGCCTTGAAGCTATAGGTTCTGTTTTGATTTAGGATATATGTTTTGAGGGGCTTAGAAATAAGGGTAGTAAGGACATTGGGGGGGGGGGCCAGAACCCTACCAAGCCACCCCCATGCTCCACTATGTACATAGTCAATGTCATCTATATCAGGTATGCGTTTTTGGACATGACTGGGTGTCAGCCCCTTACGGTGAGCATGAACAGAAGCACCACCCATTCCTGGCGCTGCCAGACTGTAGGTCTGTAGCTGAGTGGGGGAGCCAGGGAAGGCCTCAGGTGCTCTCCCAAGGGATGAAAATACTCTATACCTCTTGGCCCCCAGGCTGAATCCCTGAGCTAGAGTCAGGGATTTGAAGGAGAATGGGTCTGAGATGTCTGCCTGCTGGGAGAAGACAGAGGGACAGAGTTCAGGACCACCAGGGGCCTGGCAGCCAGCAATGGGAGGCCCAGGCTGGGCAAATAGTGGCCTCTCAGTCAGGGAAGAGGCCTCAAGCCATGTTGAGCAAAGCAGGTAGGACATAGGAGGTGGGGAGCAGTGGGGGGCCTCTCGGGGTGCAGGGAGCCTGGGAGGGAGGCAGCGCAGGGGAGGCCAGGCTGGGCTCAGGGCTGAGCGGTAATTAAAGGAGACGTAGGGGGCTCCCCAGGGCCAGCGGGGCTGGTAACTGACACGCGGGCCCCATTGCTCTGCTCATATTTCTCACCGGATCGATACGTTTGACTCCCGACAAGACAATAATCGCTTGTACGCGGCCGGCGAGTCGATCAAATACATTATTAGAGCGAGGTCCCCCGGGGGCCCGGCGGGGAGCGGTGGGGGGAGCAGCCAGCCCACCGGGGACAGCAGAGCGGGATTCTTCACCCCTCAGGGCCCCCAGCCATGGCCTCTTCCTCTCTGTTGCCCCTGGGGACCCTCTCTGTGGCTTGGTTCCCTGGCTTCTTTCGGGATTCCCGTTGTCTCTGGCGACCTCTCCACTCAGCCCCCCACATGTCCTTGCTCTGCGTGGGGACCCAAAGGGTCTTTCTCCACAAGTGCTGCTTCATCTGTAGGGCTGCACTTGTGGGAGCTCAGAGAGGCCCCTCAGACCCCCAGCTTGGCAGTAGATAGGGACACAGGGCTGCAGGCCACACTGAGTCAACAGCTGGGCCAAGAGATGAACTGGTGATTCATTGATACCAGCACTTACTCAACACATCAGCCTTCAGCACAGAATAGGCCGGGCATCGTCTTGGTGGGTATGGCAGGGGGGTGCAGGGGTGGGGGGCAGTCAGGGAAAACCGGCTTAGGGACCCAAACTCATAGGAAAACAGGATGAGGAGTAGCAGACAGACACAGAGACAGAGAGATGTCTGGCTAGTCCTACTGCAAGGCTGTGTCATCTTCCAGTGGGCCCTGGATACTCTCAAACCAAACCTAGCCTTGGCCTGCCCAGGGCACTGCCTGCCCACCTCTTCCCCCACCTTCCTGGTTTCTGGGCTTAAGCCTTCACTTCCTGTTTACACACCTGCTTCAGCCTCTGCCCTGCCCTCAAAACTGCTTCTTCAGTGGCCCTAAATCAAGGTCAAGCTGCAACCACCCCATGATCTGCCTAAGAACACCCAGCATCCAGGGACTTAAAAATATTTCTTCTTTACCATCATCATCATCACCAGCAGCAGCAGCAGCAGCAATTGTCTACTCTGTGCTAGTTGAGCCAATACATTATTTCTAATTTTCATGACAATCTGAGAAAATAAGGTCTATTATCATCCCCATGTTACTGATGAATTGGAGCTCAGAGAGGTGAAGTCACTTGCCCCACGTGACACAGCATATGAATGGTGGAGTCAGGATTGAAACTCAGACCAGTCCTCTGCATAGCTTGTTCTCTCTCTACTGCACCGTGGGTCTCCTGTGAGCTTTGAAATGCTCCCTATCCTCCAGCAGACAGCAGGGAAGTCTGCTCAGGAACAGCAAATCTCACAGTCCACAGGCCCACTCCCGCAGCCCTGAGTCTGGATATTCAGCAATACAGTGGACTCCCTCTGCCTTATCAATTCTCGGCGGAAGGTAGGCCAACCCTTCCACTGCTTTCGATTCAGATGTTTCCTGTGTCCCTTGGTGCCACACCCTGGGCTGGGGTCTGAGGGCCTAGAGATGAGCTGGGCTGAACCCTGCCTGATGATCTGATGGAAGACAGAGGGTGGGCGGTGTGGTATGGAAGGCTTTGTGAGGAGGTGGCGTTTTCATGGCAGTCCGGAGCTATTCGTGAGGCAAAGGATGTGGGGAAGTGCACTGCAAACAACAGGAACAGAAGAGGTAGGAAGGGAGGCGTGTATGGCTTGGTACAGGGCAAACAAGGTGGATATAGGCGACTGAGGTGGAGAGGCAGAGCAGACCCCAGGGCCTTGCAGGCCAAGTAAGCATTTTGGATTTTACTGCAAGCACAGCAGGATGCCACTGGGAAGGTCTCAAGTGGAGAAGTGATGTGATTCTGTGAGTCTTTTTGTAGACAATACGGGGTGCTGTGGGAGGCCAGTGAAGGGCCACAGTGTGAGGGAGGTCAGCTGTGAGAAATAGGTGGTTTCTACATGAAATGGAGGGGATGGTGGCTGGGACCAGGGTGGTGGCGGGGGCGGGGTGGGGAGGAACACGTGTCCCTAGGAGCAATTTTGACAGTAGACTCAACAGGATTAGTGATTTGCTGAAGGTGGGAGTTGGGGGAGGAGTCAAGAATTAAGCCCAGGAACACAGAAGTACCTCTGTTGCCATTGAAAGGTTGAAGAGAAGGGAGACCTCAAGCTGGGATGAGAAAGATCCAGGCAAGGTGCCATACAATGCCTCGAGGCTGGATTTGATGTTATAGGTGGAAGATTTTTGAGCAGGGACAGTGCGTGCAAGAGACATTCCATGGCATGAGGACAGGCTAGTGGGTGGAATCTGGAGTCAGGATGAGTAGAGAGGAGGCTGGGACAATAGGTGAGGTGACAGGGAGATTGGGGCCATGTGGGTCCACCTTCACAGGAAATTCTTTTTTTTTTTCCTTCACGGGAAATTCTACAGGACTCTTGTGGGCCTGCAGGTGGATGACTGGTCACGTGGCTGGGTAAACACTGAGACCATCATCAATGGACAGTGGGAAGGAAAGCAGGCTGGGAGAAGACACTCAGGTCAGTGCTGGGGGTGAGGTCAGGAAGAGGCCTCTCAGAAGCAGCAAGGTCTATGGACCAGGAAGCCAACAGATGCTTAATAAATTCACATGGACACA